TCTCTCTCTCTCTCTCTCTCTCTCTCTCTCTCTCTCTCTCTCTCTCTCTCTCTCTCTCTCTCTCTCTCTCTCTCTCTCTCTCTCTCTCTCTCTCTCTCTCTCTCTCTCTCTCTCTCTCTCCTCTCTCTCTCTCTCCTCCTCTCTCTCTCTCTCTCTCTCTCTCTCTCTCTCTCTCTCTCTCTCTCTCTCTCTCTTCCTCTCTCTCTCTCTCTCTCTCTCTTCTCTCTATCTTCTCTCTCTCTCTCTCTCTTCTCTCTCTCGCTCTCGCTCTCCGCTCTCGCTCTCGCTCTCGCTCTCGCTCTCGCTCTCGCTCTCGCTCTCGCTCTCGCTCTCGCTCTCGCTCTCGCTCTCGCTCTCGCTCTCGCTCTCGCTCTCGCTCTCGCTCTCGCTCTCGCTCTCGCTCTCGCTCTCGCTCTCGCTCTCGCTCTCGCTCTCTCGCTCTCTCTCGATCGTCAAATAGTCCCATGTGGGTGTGGGGGGGGGGGGGTTCACCCATTCAATATCCTCATATTAAGCGGTCCAGGTAATGGTAATAAGCGGTCCAGATAATCACTTCGTGCTGAATGAGGGAATATCAACATTAGAAGGTTGTTCAGTTGTGGCAATTATTGATAGATGTTTTCTAAATGACAGCAGGGATTTCCCAAAACACCTCGCTGGTAACGTCTGATACGTATCATAAGATGTAAGATCATGGGCATGCTATTATATTTCGTGTCAAGTGTGTTCACTGGAAAAATTGGTCTGAACATCCATGTCATGTGGCGAAAATATAGTTGCTCATATGCCAATACGCTCGCGTGTGCGGGTATACCGTGGTGGCCCAGGATGGGGTGAAACCCGTGGCGTTTTAAGCGAAATTGCATTTTCCTGTGAAAATCTGTATAGGCAACTGAGTGTGTAAATTCGTTGGGTGCTGACACTATACCCACTTCAATATTATGACTGTACTTTGGTCACCTTAAGATGATAGACGATATTTAATTCACTAGTTTGAGGCCTGCACAACTGTTTTCGAACGCCCAGTGTGATTTTGGACGGAACCTCAGTATCGTTCATCGTATGTCAGGTCCGGACAACGTGATCCGCGCCGAGTTTGAAAAGAAAGGCGTTTAGGAGTGGGATCGTGTAAACAGGGCGCATGCGATTCTGCATTGCGTCCTTAAATCTTTTCAAAACTTCGGCACGGTATACGTGGGCACATTATTCAATAACTTTGTGTCCGATCGCTTTTCCTTGTCCGTGTCGGGACCGAGCCGTCGAAAAGGTTCCTCCAGGTTACCGGTGTCCCACAGGGAAGTGGGCTGAGTGTAACACTGCTGATGCCATCAACGACCTCGGTGACGTTCTACCACAGTCTGCCGGGCGGCCCGTTTTCGTAGATGACTGCCATTTTGGGCCAGATGATAAGCACGTCATCGGCGGACAGCTAACCGCAGCTGGCTATACGGCGCCTAGAGTGGTGAGGGGGGGGGGGGCGGATGAACGGTTCCCGCTTTTCCACAAGGATTGTTGCCATGTATTTCTGCCGGTGCTGTCGACGCCCTCGGCTGAATTGCCAAGCCTGCTGCACGATCTGGAGAGGCGCGGTTTGATGACCCGAATGACACGTAACAAACATTGGAAGACCTCATGCGTGCTGGCGATGTTTTAATTCTCTGAACATTGCAAGTGTGTTGTTCAGGCAAGCAAGTATGTTGCAAGCAAGCAAGTTTAATTCTCTGAACATTGAACGTGCTGCACGGAGCTGATAACGGCACGCTCAGGCGTTCATATTGATCACTTATTCGTTCTCAACTTACCGCATGTCTCGTTTACGACGATGTGTGTGAGTCAACTAAGCGTATTCTAGATACCATTCATGATACAGCCATTTGTGCCATTGTTTCCGCAGTTTGCACTTCGCCTGCATTCGGCCTTATGGCAGAGGCCAACGATTCGTCACTCCATTTGGGCGGAAAATGCTGGGAATGCGTTGCGCTCTCAAACTGCGACAGTTTCACTCCCTCCCAGCGTGCGACGTGATGTTCCCTCGCCCCATTGCGGCTCGACTCCGTGGTGGACTGGAGCAATGCCCCCCCCCCCCTCCGTTCTGCGTTCGGCTGCGGGCTCTAGTAGACAAGGACATTCCCTTGTGCAGCGTCATACGCATTATACATACACCATACATCAGGCCCCCGTGGCGCCCAATTTCGCCCGCATTGACGCTTCGCCGGCATCGGTCAGCGATAGCCATGTCGCGCCAGATCTGTTCCGATCGATAGCGCTGCAGCGTGTGTTGTACGAGGAGTACATCAACATGCACGGACTTGTCCAGGACGATTAGTAACGTTGGATACGTTTTCTTTAGCTGTACCGATATTTGATCATTGGCGTTACCGACACACGTCTCGAGACCTCTGTTTAACTGAGGTGGGTAAAGAAACTGTACACCGTATTTTACTGATTCTTTAAGTATTCTCCAGGCCCCGAAAACTCTTGATCCAAGCTGTCGCCGTGGACAGGATATTTAAAAACAGCTTACTCAGCACGGCTGGGCTGGTAAGAAGATTGCTGTATGCTGGATCCCTAACCATGTCTGGATTCTGGGTAGCGAGATGGCTCCGTTGATAAACGTGCTCCTAGGGCTTATCGCACGCGCTGTCCCAACAAGAAACTTCAGGTCAACCGTTGTGACCTTCCTTCTAAGGAAGAGGCAGCTCTGCCTGGTCAACCATTGTACCCTTCCTTCTAAGGAAGAGGCAGCTCTGCCTGGTCAATCGTTATGACCTTCCTTCTAAGGAAGAGGCAGCTCTGCCTGGTCAGCCATTGTGACCTTCCTTCCAAGGAAGAGGCAGCTCTGCCGAGACTGGATGGCTGGAAATAACAATAGGTATGAGAAAAGCCGTCAACTCTTGATTTATCGGCATTATGGCTTCAGAGTTCTTACGCTGCGGTATTGACCTGCAATGTACCACGAGTTTCTGGGTTAGCGTGCGTCATTGGGGTTTTACGACGCACTCAGCTGCTGAGGCTTTATGGCGTCGCCTTCCTCTCACCCTGGCAGGAAGGGCGGGCACCACGGGATGTGCTGCGCTGGACGACGTTATAGGGCAAGAATGTTTGCGTACATGTTTGCATACCTATAGTGCAAACATGTTTGCGCTATAACGTGGTTTGACTAATTGGTATATTGTAGGTCGACAACTCAGCTCTGAACGCATAACAAACCAGTAGCTATAAAACCGGAACAGCGCTGGAGGTCGCCTGGCTCAAGTAATGACGCAAGATCAGGTGACAAAGTGCTGCTACGTATGGTGCGCATTGGCCTCACACACGCTACTTGTGAGTAGCTTGCTGTGCGTTGAGGACAGACCCATATGCTTGCAGCGTCCCTGGGTCCTCACCGTGCACCATGTCATTTCATCGTGCCCACATTTCGCCCAGGGGTGGCCGCGTCATTTGGGGCAAACCGCTGCGTCATTATTCATTGGATTTCTATACCAGTGGATGGTATGTTAGCTTTCCGAGATGATTGGCAGCTGCCTGGCGGGGGGAGATGGGTGGGAAGGGGTGCAGCGGCTTTCGTGTCGTGAGCACCTCGGCTCTGGCACGCCGTGTACTCTTAATCAATTTTTATGTTGTGGGCGCCGCATGACCTCAGTAGTCAGCGCGCCCCAAAACATAAATCAGCGCGCCCCAAAACAAAACAAAGCGGCGACTACGGTGGCAAAGTCACCTTCAACAGCTGCATTGTGTGGGCACTCGTTGCCGTGAGATATCCGCACTAGATATATAAACAGCGTAACACTGCATTTTTTCATCCGAATCATACCTGACCCGAGGAGGTGAGTGTCCTAGTGGCTAGTACGTAAAGCTCTCGATCGAAATGCGGAACCGCCAATTCTGTCCCAGCAAGGCTTTGAACGACTGCACTTCCATGGTTATTAGTCGAATTATATTACTGCTCACGCAAGACGTGTCGTGGAGGTGTAATGGCCGAATGGTTGGAGCGTCGAGCTTCCACGTTGAGGCCCGGGTTCGAACCCCGGTTGCGCCATGGCCCTGAGCTCTAATATGGCCGGTGCAGTCGCTAGCGCTCAACAAAAGGATCGTGACGACGCGCGTCGTGTTCCCACTAAGAAATACGCGACATTAGCATCGCGGCTATTCACATTTATTCCACGGGGGAAGACAAAACGCCATTGTGATAGCCAGGTTCAAACCCTCACACGGCATACAACGTTGGCACTCGGGCGATCGAACCAACCGGTTGTCCGTCACCTGGACGGGGAACACTAACCACTACAGCGGCTTACGTGGGTGGATGATATAGATAATGTCATGAATGGCGAGATCGCGGGCGTCTGGCCAGTTTCTTGTGCATACGCGCACGGCGCGATGTGCGCAGCGTGAACAAGCGTCTGCGAGAGAGGACGGTCCGGTCGACCATTACTACATGCGGGATGTGATGCATCTGGTAGTCAGAGAAGGGAGCTATCGGCGAGCTGTGGCTCGGATGCCTGTGTGGCGGTCACCGCTGCTCAACGGGCGGTTGGCTTGTGCTACGATATGATCAGCAGCAGGGTCGTCGCGGTTAGCCGCTATGCTGACGTGAAAGCCTCTGCAGGTCGTACGTCCTTGCGAACATTGCTGGTCACACAATGGTAACCAGTGGGATGAACGCGTTACTTATGCCGTCTTTTTTGGAGAGTCGATAGCAGTATCTTGGTACGCCTTGAATGCACAAGTGTCATGACGCTCTGCTGCCCTCGTGAATGTCCTGTCTTGTTCAATAGCATTAAATCGAACCGTACCTGGCGAACACGTAAAGCGGCATGCGGAGGGTACGCCAATGTAGTGTCACGTGCAACGACCTGAGCAGTTTGTGGAAAGCCAGCCAATGACTGGAGTGATACTCGTGACCGTTCCGACACGATTTAGCTCACTTCTGCCGCAAACATGCCGCCGGGCTGTCTCCGACGTCATATTGAACGCTGACGTTGTTTCTCTTTTTGCAGTGTGCGGAGTGTCATGCACAAATACATGGAGAAGATGGGCCAGGTCAACTACGACAAAATCTTCAATCAGAAACTAGGTATGGATGTAAGGTAGTTCACTTTCACACATTTGATTGACCAACACACAAGCCACGAAGCGCAACACCGGAACACGTCTTATCTTCCACCTCCCTTTGGCGGGCACCATTCGGCATAATAACACACAAAAACCCTTACTCCCGCCGCCTTTCAGACGAGAGCACAGACGGCCGATCGGCCCCTCCATCTGGGTAAGCCAGTCCGCCGCCCGTACCCCCGGCTGGTTACTAGGCTGCTTTTCCGTCGGAGGGTCGGGACGGCGTCGTCGGCGAGGGGTATCAGATTGGAACCAAACATGCATAGCATTGCTTCAAAGACAACGGGGACCACACACATTTGCCGGCTCACATACGTGCTCAACGCTTACACACACGCTGAAGGACGTAATATATATGTAAGTAATAGATATGTAAGTAAATAGATACAAGTGTGAACCATCCTACATGTCGCCTGAATACAACGAGTAGTGGCTGGAGATGACTTGAGGTATGGATTAATGGATAAGGGTCGTGTCTGCTCTCCGACGGGATGCTGAATTCATGAGGTCTTTCTCTGATTCCCTTCTGCGCCGAAGATGAGTGCAGTGTCAGGTAGAGTCATGATCAGGTCGCTGAGACTAGTCCGCGTCTTGACCTGCCTATCCCCGCATGTCCATTGACAAGTCGCTGACGTAGCTGAGACTAGTCGGCATCTGATCAGCCCATCCCGCAAGCATATTCACTGAGCAGTCGCTAGGCATCGCCAAGCACCTCATCACGAGAAGGTGTTGCAACACCTATTCGTTGTACTTCACGCTGGAATGTGATGGTGGTCTTTGTGAAGGACCATTTGCTCGCTACCGTATGGTTTTCAGACCCATAAAAGGCATTAGGTGCCACACCTACTCTCGCTTTGACAAGCAGGTGATATTCTTTACAGTGAATGGGACCACCAGAATTAATTGGCTTGCTGAATTTTTGGAAAGCTGTGACCTTTTCCGATCATATGTTGGCGTTTTAAGAGGCGATCTCTCTTAATGCTGAGACACGTGCGACGAGTTTTGTTTTCTTGTGTCTGGTCTTGCTAGTGGCTAAGTTCTACATTGCGCCATTACGTAAATGAGCTGGATCCAAGACCATCGCCAATGTAGGAACATCGGAACAGAAATCGTTGGCTATGTACAACAATACGGACTCTGTATTTCAACTTAAAATACGCTACTTTGCCTGTAACCGTTCTTACGTATGCTGTTTAACGCGCGCTTGGGTGGGGTCAGTTTGAGCCCCCCCCCCCCCCCAAGTTTTTCCGGAATGATTTCCGAACGGCGCGGCGTAGCGACGCCAAATTTTGCATAGTTGTAGAAAACTGGTAACCGGATTGTTTGGTTTTAAAAAATAAGACGCACCTTGTAAGGTCGCTGCCCTACGGAGGTCAAAGTCAGGTCATGGATTCAGCGGAGACGATTTCCAGGGAATCGTTCAATCTGACACAATGACGGAGTGTTAGAAGAAGCCACACATCTCTGAGATTGTTTCTTAGACACACGACAAGTGAATGATCAAAGTCCATTGGCCTAGGTGTAGGTATGAAGGTCAGACCAAGCCGAAACAAACCTGCTTTATTACTGTAGGGCTTGTATGGGATAGTTTGTGGTGCTCATCGCGAATTAATTCCATAACAGGGACCGCATATTCATATTTCATGGACTTTTTAAGAGCCAGAAGAGGTCGCTGACCTAAAACGACCGAAATCAACCTTTCATTTTTAGAGACGTACTGCTTAGCGTAATGTTTGACACGTATTCAAATGCAAAACGCAAAGCAGACTTGTATAATCTCGGTTACTGTGACCTGCGGAAGGGCAAACAAGATCACTTACCTTAAATGAGGACCAGTGACCTTTTGCTTAGAACAGGTGCCTGGTTTCGGAAACGCTTAGGACACCGATATGGAGTTGGACCGTGTTTAACCTTATTTGGACCCGAAGGTCATGACCAAGGAACCCCAAATGTTGACAAGTGAGTTTACATACAGGCCAAACACACCCTGTGAATTCGGTGTCTCTAGGTTGCTTAGTTTTTTACATCTTAGGGGGTCAGATTAATCCCCCCACCCAAGCGAAGGGTATTTAATTTCGGCCACCCGGGTGCGTGACAAATCAGAAGTCAGAAATGGGGGTCCCTTTGTAGCTGAAGTACCTTGTGGCTGCAGTACCTGTAGATTGATGTACAAGTCAAACTCAGCTGGATGTGACATTGTACATGCTTTGCATCTCCGTATGACGCTGTTTCAACTTATAAAAATCTGCCAAATTTGTAGGCTTTTATCGAATAACTATAGCGCTGCTTAAACGGAGTGTTCAACCTTTGGGGTATATCTAAAATAAAATATAATCTGGTGAAGCCTCAGGACGTCTAATGGCACCGGGTAATACCACCGCAGCACCCTCAAGATTAAAACAAAAGGTTTTAGTCATTTGCGGTTCCAAATTGCTCTGTCGTTGTTTTGTCACAGTACTACCCTTTTTTGGTAGCCACAGAGTGTAGGCCAAGCCCGCGACATCTGCAGGTGTCTCGACTGCCGTCGTCAACTGTCACGGACTAGAGGTACCACTTTTGATGTGAGTGTTCCACGTCTCAGCCTAGTTTGGAACAAAGATGCCTCTTTTTGAAATCGTTCAGCGCTGTTCACAGCCATGCTTTCTGTAAGATTTACACCCTCATGTTTCTGAGCTTGAGTCTCCTAAATTTGTGCAAACTATTTCAAGGTCACCCAGGCACGCACGACGCTATAAAAACGTCACGCGAACACCGCCACGTTGATGGCCTATGCAGTGTTCAAGGTCAGGACAAATATGTTCATCGAATTATTCGTGTATGGTATAAGACAGCACGATTCGTGGGATGAACGGACAACAGTTGGCCTTCAGCCAACTTAATGCGTTGACACGCACTCGGGTGGGGGGGGGGGGGGGGGGGGGTCAATGTGACCTTCCGGAAAGTTTTTCGGGAATAGTTTCCGAGCGGCACGGCGTAGCCGCGCCAAATTCTGCATAGCTGTAGACAATAGAATAGCGGATCATTTTGTACAAAAACTTAGCTGTACCTTGTAAGATCGTTGACTTACGGCAGGTCAAAGTGAGGCCACGGATTCAGCAAAGTCAATTTTTAGGAAGTCGTTCAATCTGATGCAGCAGCGGAGTGGTAGACGAGGCCATACGTCTCTGAGATACCTTCATAGGCTATGCAACAATTGATCGAACGAATTATTTTGACGTAGGGTCAGGTATGGAGGTCGGACCAAGGTTAAATCAACCTGCTTTATTACTCTAGGTTTTGCTGTAAGGGGCGGTTTCTGGTGCTCATTTCCAATTTATTGACACTAGGAATCGCATTTTACACATTCCATGAAGTTGTTAAAGGTCAGAATAGGTCACTGACCCGAAATGACCCAGGTCAACATTTTGTTTCAGAAACGATTCGCCTAGCATGATCTTTGCCGTTTATTGAAAGCAAAACTTAAAGCAGTCTTGTGCGGTTTTTACCACCATGACCTTGGAAACGTCAAAGAAAGTCAGTGACCTAAATGGGCATAAGACCTTTTGATTAAATCAGGTATCTGGGCTCAGGAGGCTTTTTGGCGACCAACCCGAAAGTTGACTTTGTTTGACGTTGAGGTTATGACCTAGGAAATTCAAACTTTGACTTAAGTGAGCTCACGTACAGGTTAACACACCACGTGAATTTGGTGTATCTAGCTCTCTTAGTTCGTGAGATCTCAGTATGGTCAAATTGACCCCCATCCGAGCGAAGGGTGTCTCAGTCAGCCACACGGGCACGTGTTAAGTGCAAGCTTGGATCATGCATGACGTTCTGTGCTACATAACACATGGCTTTGAGCAGTGGTACTAATTATGGCGGGAATGAGACCAGAAATCGAAAAATTTAAGGATAGCGAGATAACTGAGTGCGTGAATGCAAGGAAACATATAAATTCGCGGACCCAGTATGCTAGAACACCACGAAAAAGGTCCAAGAGACGGCCAAAACACGTGCATATAACGATATTCAGGTTTAGCAAACACGCACCAGTAAGCACCCCCACCTCTCGGCAAGTTTAAGTACTATGATTGTGTCGGCCCGTCCGCTATAGTGATAATTCTGACACGACGAATCTGGCAGCGACTCTCGCGTTATAAAGACGTTCCGTGACGTAACCAGCTGATGACGTTTTAGGAAGACATATTTCAAATGTGAAATCGCGGTGCATAGAGCAACCTTATGCACTTGAAAGAAATCAGTAACACTCAGCTCTTTTTCATCACATATGATGATCGTCTCAATATTTGCGAATGTGGAGTATTCCTTAGACAAATGGCACTTATACTGGTATGAATGACATCAGTACAAATTAACGTTTGCGTTTGACAAAGCAGACGACCAAGGCCCTTTACCGAGGGGCGCATTGGTTGAGATGTGAACCTGCGTCACTATAGACTACGCGATATTCTGTTTCCCAGAGCCAAAGTATGCTTTGAAAAAAGATACCTTGCTAAGCGTCGCGGAGGAGAAATCAAAGACGTAGTGCAATGTTTCGCTGAAATGGCGCAATCACTGCCTCATGTTGGTATATCTGTGCCCTAAACAGAATGTTGCAAGCTTTCGTAGCTCTTATGACACAAGCCTTTTTACAAATTAGTATGTTGCAAACACGACAGAGCACACGCGTTGGAAAAAGCAAGGCAAATCAAAAAATAAAAATTCATAGTGATGAGCATGGAGCCCAATGACGTTTCCCCCGGCAGAGATCTTACCTCAACTTGCAGTATTGAACTACTCCGAATGATTTCAAGAAAACTGGTATTTCTGAACAAGTCGGACGCGTCTGATGTAGCAATAAGTGAAAAGTACAAAAAGGTAGCATAGTCCCTTTAAAGGGAGCATGCCTCAAATGCTCCACACGTGCAGGCTATTGAAGCAGTCATCAGATGTGATGGAATATGGTCACTTATATAAGCCGGAAAAGACTGCTCTAGGCACCACAGTTTCTCTATTTCGTAAATATGTTTCTCAATATGTCATTGTTTAATTATGTATGCCACGAAACGTTTGTATGTTATCACTCACTTGTAGTTCCTCAACCTCCCAAGAGATGGCCCGCGGTGATGCAGGGTGTGTGCTGAACCAAATAGCTTTAGATGCTCGTGTTTTGACCCTTTCCTGTGATGTTAATGCATATTTATCAGTGAGTTGAAGTGCCTACTTGTTTTCACAAACTCGCCTATAGTGTTATTCTTAAGTTGTTCGCTGCAAATCTTTTCCCTGTTATAGCTAGGAAGAATGTATAACTTTTTGTACCGTGTCGCAAAACGTATTGTGTTAGGATTTCGCATAGCTTGCACAACATTGGTTGAGAGCTAATTGGTGACCGCCATATCTGGACGTTGTGCTCGCGAACACTGGGTGTCAACGACTCGACAATTATGTTTGTCGACCGTGAACACCGCATGGCCAGTGGAATTGTAGGGTTTGAATGACAGTATTATGGTGTCACGGATGTCTGGCTAAGCTTGTACGGTGTGAACGAAATAATCTGTGCATCTTAACGGACGTGTAGCTCAGAAACTAGAGGGGCTTAGGTGTTAAGAAGGGCAGGGCTGCGAACTGCACCGAATGATCTTCAAGATGGCTGTTTAAGTTCAAAACCCCGCAAAAATGTGGGAAACCTCCTTTAACCGTTCTCGATAGAGGCAATGACCTACAACGGAGTGGTTGTTTGCTCACCTGGCCCTTGCGTTCTTTCGAGGCCATTAAGATGAACAACATTTCGGTTCTCAGCATGTGTTTCCACTGTTTATCTCGATCCGAGCTATTTGTGTGCCCGATGCTAGCTTGGCCGACACGAATAATCTCGTTACATACGCCATCGCTCTCCCGATGCACATAGGCTTATCTTTTAAGTACGTGCTTACGGATGTTTGGTCCTTGCTCTTTGCCGTAATTTGGAAAGTGTAGCCGGGCTATCCTAGTTCTCCATCTGCTGCAACGTGACCCTTGCATTCAATGGCATATTCATCTAAATCTGACTTTTGCTGGGTCATATATCTCCTTTCCCTTTTGGCAACGCGGTGTTCAGAGCTATGCAATGCCTGTTTAGCTACTGTTTTTCGTAAGCACTGATCTTGAAGCTCCATTCTTGTCACCGGCTGCACCTTGCCTCCTGATTTATCCATTTATTTCGTCTTTACTTCTCCATTGGTTTAATTTTCTTTTATCGCGTGCGCCGCCTCCATTCACTTTCAACGCGCTTGTACTAATAAAAGGCATACAAAGCAGCACGAGCGCGAGAAAAGAACCTGGGACTCGTGCCAATATTTGTACAGCTTTGGACTCGAGTGGCCATCATCACAGAGTGAGAAAAGCGCGCCCTTTGTCCCCAGGCTACCTGCTGTTCAAGGACTTCTGCGAGAACTGTGTGGAGGAGGCCGTACCGCAGCTGAGCTTCTACGAGGAGGTTGGTAATGTCGGGAGGATGGAGACGCGCTGACGGTGCAGGAGGCGTGTGCGCTCGTCCGTCTACCTGACGCTTGCTGCGGACGGAACTGGGGCGGCTGGCGCTGAGGCTGGAGCTGCGCTGCCGACCAGTTAGGTGTCTGCTTCAGTTGTACATTGGTCAGGGGCGCCTGAGATATTGGGCGTCGGCGTTGGTAGGGCACGGCCGGCTGCAGAGGCGGGACAGTTTGGCTGGGGACATATATCTGCAGTGCCTGCTCTGCATGCGACAGTACGGACCGCAGATATGCAGCGGCGACATTGTTTGGAATGGAGGACCGTCGGCTATCCCTGTGGTTGGGCCCGGACGGGACGGGACGAGCTGGACGGGTCCTCCTCTGCCGTTGGCCGCTGTGACAGGTTTATGGTGCGACTGGCAGCGGCGCTATCTGGAGCAGGCCGCCGCCGATAGCTGGACCTCTGACGCGTCCGGTGGTGCGGTCGCGATAACCGCCGCCGGGCGCCGCCGCCAGCGGCCGACGCACGCTGCAGCCGCGCTGCTCCGACGCACGTGACAGCTGCGTTGGGAGGACGCGGTCGCCAGCCTATTGGCCCGAGTTGTGCTGCATCAGCACAGTGTCACGCGACAGAGATCACATTTCCGTTAGCGTGCACAGTTTGCGTTGTGGATAGCAATGACGATCGTGTTAGCGGAGTGCCCACTTATGATGATGTGTCCCTGGGTGGTGTAGTGTGGTAAGTGGTAACGCGTACCAAAGTCGGGTGACGTAGAAACGTTTTTCTCCACTGCTGTCTTACATACAAAATAACGTTCAGGTGCAGCCATTTCCTTACACTGATGGATGGCATGGTCGGCATCTGTTGGAAAGAATACTTCATATGCGGTCCGTTAGGTTTGTTATCAATTAACATTTATGACATTGCTAATGCCCTCAGTCCTAATGTCCACAAAGTGATGCTAATACGTACACAATCATGAGACTGGTTTTATTCCTAGATTATCAATGCGGCTGGTTCGCAGTCAGCCGTCTCCTTACTGAAATGGACGTCACAGCTGTCGAATGTCTACACACCGACCCAATGTCTTGAAATACAACAAATTTAGTGGAGGATGCGCATCCAACCACGTTGCTTTCTAGCCAGACTTGTACCCGACTCAATTTTTGAGCCGGGTGAGGACCGACTCACGTATTTTGGATCTTATTCAGCTCATAACTTAAAGCCGTTTTCATTGTTTTATTCAGTTCAGTTCAGCCTGATTGTTTGCATTGAATCATTTGACTCATGACTCACGCAACTTGCAAAATAGTAGATTTAATCTGGCTCTGGCTTATGGTTCCTAATTCATATGATTCACGTGTATATATATATATATATATATATATTTGCATATATTTATATATATATATTTACGTATATATATATATACATATATATATATATATATGTATATATATATATTTGCATATATTTATATATATATACGTATATATATATATATTTGCATATATTTATATATATATATATACGTATATGTATATATATATATATATATATATATATATATATATATATATATATATATATATATATATATGGGTATATATGTATATATGCCGTGTGTGGGTGCGTGCGTGCGTGCGTGGGCGTGCGTGCGTGCGTGCGTGGAAAATTGGTATCAACACCTAGTAGCAAGTTTTTAGATAGAACCTAGCCAATGCAGTGCAGTAAACGATGCCTTTCCTGTGACCTGTCACCAACCAGCTCTATCAAGTTTCAGTTCAAGGCTAGCACATTCTGCCTGGCAGCTGCGACCCAGACCGATTAGTTGCATAGCATGCAATGTGGACTAAACTGCTCTAAACGACAGTTGGCAATCTGCACCTGCCAAGTGCCAGCCTGGTACATTGGCATGGCATTGTCATTGGCGTTGATGGCATGTCAACGAGTCAACGTAGGATTGCAGTTCTCGCAATAGCGACTGGCTAGCATAACTTATAAACGTGCTATGAACTGCCCTCCTCAGTGATAAGTGTTGTGAATTTCAAGGTCATTTCTCGCGAACAGGCCCAGCAAAAATCCACTTCACTCGACCCTCGTCTTCCGGTCACCAAGGACCTAAACATAGGCTAAACTGAACCGAACAACTGACCTAGAGATGAGCGAACGTAGGCGCCGACTGCTGTTTCCGCCAGGGTACCTTAAACTCATCTCATCAGAGCACTCCATGATGAGTTAGGAGTCAAAGTAGGTTTCCGCGCTGTGTAAAGCTTGGCGTGGTTTCCTCCACTTTGCCCGTTTTCCAAGACTACTAAATTTGGATGCCGAATTCTCACTTACAAGTTGCGTGTTGTGTGGAAATATTTGCTGCTGCAATGCTGTACAGGTCACCCGTGACATACAATCCGCATATGAGACGTGATTGCGTTGCTTCTATTGCTCTTTATGTCATAAAGCCTCAGAAAAGCATCCTTATAGCAATTCAAGTATAGGTGAATGAGGGTCAGGTATGGATTAGTTATTATTATGACAATTAGCAATGACAAACATGACCATCGCTGAGATTTTGTGAGGAGCAGACAATCTTTCACTGATGGCTTAGGATGTAGGAATGTAGGATGTCTGTACCATGTAATATCCCTGGTTCCTGGCTGAGATTTAACAAACTTTAGTTCAGAATCAACAATATTTTGTGTACTGCTGAGAAATTACAATAGAAACTTGTGCGGATATTTAAAAAGCTTTATAACTATTGCAGCATGCTGTTCATTCTCACACTCTTAAAGAGCTTCTTAATTTGTGTGGGTTGTGCAATGTTCCCCCATGTCACCACTGTCACTTGAACCATGTAATGCAGTGACAAAACGTGGTTAGAAATGATCGGCTCACGATTCAGCTATAAAATTTACGGATGCGGATAAAATGTGATTCAGCTGATGACTCAAAGCGGCATTTTTCGTGGTGAGCCGACTCAGCTGACGACTCGCTCCAAAATAATTGACTCGTAAGCGATTTATGATTCAGCCCGAGTCCATCACAAGTCTGTTTTAACTTCGCTTCAGCCTTTAAACGCTTCCTTTTGGGAGTTTCGGTAGAATCCTGGATGGTATGCCAATAAGCCATATATTTGCACTTGACAGGCATCAAAGCGCGTACAACAAATCAGACAACGATGAAAACCACAGCATTTGTGCGGCACCTACCTACCTCAGGCCGTCTTCTACCTGGAGAGCAGGCTGCATTCGCGGCGCGTGAATAGTCTGTATTTCTCTTCAGTGCGTAGCAAGTGTAACGTTCACAAAATGGTGCTTCCACATTGCTGCCATATTAAAGGGAGTATCGGGACTCCTAAGAAATGAGCAGAATGACGTCGAAACAGGTCCACTCAGACCCACTTGCGGTTTGACCATTTTCTCAAAACATGGCGTTTTCTTTGCATCACTGCTTTCGGAAAGGCTAATGCCTTGTCCTCTCATTCCAGGCATTCTTTCTTTTTAACGGCCCTGAGATGGTTTGAAAATATGATGTTGCTCTATGGCGGTAACGTCTGTGTCATTTCAGCCAGGACTTCCAGATAAACAATTAATCTCAGTTCCCTCTGTTCTGAATCATTGTCTTCCAGGTCCTACTTAGGTATGACAATGATAATTGTCGTGATTTAAAACTTTAATAGCATGTCATGGTCTTTTTTGTTCTCAGACGTATTGATGTCGATGCCCATCTTAAATTTAAGAGCGTCTTGACTTATTTATTGCCAGGGAATCATTTTCGAGACTGCGACGTACGCATCGTTTTGAATCCAAAATATTGGGTTTCCTTTCAGGGAACAATGATTTATTGGCCCCTATGTTGAGCGCCGTTCGATTTCGGCATCCCCATTTCGGCATCCGAATCTGCCGATGCTGAAAAATTCCTGCGCCACAAACTTGCATCAGCTGTTTCCACCATGACTGTAATTGGCCCGGACGGTAGTTTGGAAGCGGGTTGGAAGTTCATGTTTGTTTCTCTTTTCACCTTGATCCATTGTTTGATGCGCGAGTGGCAGCACGTGGAGGTGGCACCTAAACAGGCCTCCAACGGCCGTTTACGTGTCTTTGTTTCTTGTCGTGACCGACATCTATGCGGCAGCAAAATTGAGAGGCTTTGGTGGAAGTCGGAAGGGTTTGTAATGCCATTGCTGGGTTTTGCCGCTTGGATGTTTTAATACCAAACTAAGGATGATCTTTCAGCAGATGTTGGATAACCACTGTGGTCATGGGTAGGTAACTCTTTGAAATCGTTTCGTATGATCTTAGTCATGGCAGTAGCCACGTTTCCGCCGCGATGGGGGGGGGGGTAGGGGGAGGGTGGAATCAGGATTGTAGAGGTCAACTGGAATCGTGGGGTGTACATTCTGACAGAAAGAAGTAATGTATGTAGGAGAACTTGAAAGTACTTGCATTCCCCCGGGGAACTAAAATCCCATTTCGTGAAATTGGGGAATGAAAGAATGGCCTCTCCCCAGTGGTTACAATCCTGGTCCTGGGTGTGTTCATCAATCTGTAGCTTTATTCGCCCCATGTGAGGCGATGAGGGCAAATATGGGGCGAGCATAATTTGTGTTGGCAGGCCTTCTCATAATGAAATGCATCAAGGTTAATTAAAAACACATCACATGATACCATCTGCAGTCTAACCGTGTGCATCCACTCAATGATCGTTTCGCTGATTTTGGTAGAAGAGTTACCAAGCCATTCTTTATTTATTGCACAGGCTTTATGTTAAAATGTGAAACTGTTTTAGGATGAACTAAGCCTCGGTGTTGTGTATGGAGCAACACCCATGATGACCTCTCCCCCCCCCTAGAAGTCTGATTCACGATTACCACATGGCGTTTATCGCCCGGCTGTTCGAAGAATTCACATCTGTGGTTGTTGGAAATAATCGGCCAGCGCGTAATGGTTTTAGTAAACTTTTATGATTTAATTCGCAAACCCTTGCCAGCATACGGGGAGAGGCTTG